GTCATCTAGATTCCAGCAGTATAGCCTGCTGCTCTTCCCTGTTGACTTTTCCTGCCTAGCATCACTCCAGAAATAATTCTGGAAGGAGCCAGGTCATGACCATTACACATGATGTAGGCAGGCTGGGAGGTGATTGCATTTGCAGCTACAACCCACTAAGCATTGCTGGCACAATCTGTGTTCTGGACCACTCATGGTGGGCACAGCTGGAATGCAAGCTCCTACTTCTCAGCATCATCTTCCAGTGACGATGCCTTCCTCTGCCATCCTCTGGTGATGGAGGCTGCCTCTTCCCAAAGCCCTGTCTGCATGGAGAGTTGGGAAGGGGCTCTTTTCTTGGAAAGAAGGCACTTACCACTTGCGGGAAGCAGTGAATGGGGAAGTGAGGTGAGCATCAGTGAGGCTGTGTGAGGCTTCTCTGTCTTGGGAAAGCCTCTGTGAGTCCCAGAGGGTGAGAACAGAGCGGTGGTTGCAGAGGGACAGTACAGTGATGCTGTCTCATCTTGGGAATCACAAAATGTCTCTTCTCATCCTTCAGCTTCATCAGGGAAAGGCAGATGAGTAGCCTTTATATCTTAGTAGTGAATATGTTGAGTGATGGTTTTTAACCTCATTTTAAGGAGGAGTGGACAGAAACGTGTATTTTTCTTTGCACCTAAGCAGAGAAATCCTTTGTGCTCTATTTTAAAGGGATATTGAGCAACTGTTAAGTGATTGGCAGCACTTCCAGTATGGCTACTGTAGGCACCTATGGCTTTGTCCTAGAGCCACCATGGGGGATTATTCATGCTCCAAATTCCCCTCCCCAGACGAAAGCTTGCATCTCTCACCAAGAGATGCAATGCAGTTCACAATGCTGGGAGAAGCAGAGGGGGATCAGTAGATGGGCTGAGCTGCAAAGCAGATGGGATGGAGCAAGGAGAGGCATCCTGGAGCTTCATAATGGCCCATCTTGCCCTGTGCCGTTGGCTGGGCTGGAGGCAGTGACTCGAGCATCCTGCAGGATGTGAGCTGAAGGCACTGCGGTAGCATCGCCTCGGGCCAGAGACGCAGCCGTTGCCTGGCAGCTGAGAGTTTCCAGGGAAACCAGAGGTGCTAACTTGTTAATGAGCCACACGTCCCTGATTGCTGCCGCAAAATAATAATAATTAGTAATAGGGCCATGTTTTAGGAATCCCTCAAACAGCAGGAGCCTGCCGAGGGGAGTTTGCTAAGTGCCGAAGCACTTGAAAGAAAAGAAGGGATGTGGAAGGAGGAAGGGCAGAGAGCTTAGTGAAACTGCCACCTTTTACATCTTGATCTGTGTCTGGAGAGCTGGGAATCAGCAGGGTTCTGCCAGTGTCCTGGGTGGTAAGCCTGGGGCTGGTGGAAGTTCTTCAGGAACGCCTGCTCTCAGGGGTTACTCTGGGATGGCAAGCAGGCATTTCTCCATGGTGGCAACCTGTGGGCATGCTCATAAATCCCCAGGCTTGCTTATGTGATGGGAATGGTTTGGGTTGGAAGGAACCTTGAAGATCATTTAGTTCCAACCCCCTGCTGTGGGCTGGGACATCTCCTGCTAAACCAGGTTGCCCAAAGTCCCATCCAACCTTAAACCTACAGCTTCTCCAATGGGATCAGAGCTGCCAGTCCTTGGGATATATTTGTTTCCTTAGCTCTGTGCACAGGCACATGTGGGTGCTTCTTCCAGCACCTCTGTAGCCAGGTTTGACCCTTCTTTCAGCATCATCTGTGTGCAGCCTACCTCATGAGGCAGTTCATGGCACCTCCATGTTCTCTGCCAGCAGCCAATCATACCCTATTTCTGGTCTTCAGCTTCATTTTGTGAGTTCAATTCCTTTGCTAGAAGCAGATTTTGGAGGTTCAGCACAGATCTCCAGAAATATTTTGCAGCTGATGAGTAGCAGTGCACCTGAGGTCCTTTGTTCTTTGCTCTTTGCAGACTGGGAGGCTTTTTTTACTGGAAGTATTCCTCCTTTTCCTCTGCATCTTAATCTCTTCTGTTTGCATTTATTTTGAATGGAAATGTGAAACAATGGTAGAAATTGGAACAGGAGTAGGAGAAAAAGAAAGCTCGGAGGAATAGTAAGCTGGCCTGCCCAAGGCAGCAAGGGGAGCAGCTGCTGATCTGGGTCATGGGTGGAGGGAAGGTAGGGATCTCCAGAACACAACCACAGGTGGATATGCCAGTTAGTGAGGTTTGTGATTGCTGCAAGGACGTGCTGGCCTTCCTGTTAACATCTCCAAGAGAAACTAGAGCTGTGCCCTTCCTGTAGCCACATATTTCTGCTGGGGCCTTGTGCAAGATGAGAAATTGAGGAAGTGGCCTCCACCTGGGTGACTGTTGAGCCAGGACAGGGGTGCATTCCCATGGTCCTTCCTGCCACAGGGGCGGACTTGGGTCAGGGTGTGTTTGGGGTTTTCTTCTGGCTGACCAGAAGAAGGTCACAGCCAGGGAGACTCCTGGCAAGCAGGTGTCTTAATGCCTATGCATTAAGTCCTCTGCCCAGCTTTCCGTCCCTCAGCTGCAGCATGGCCTCTCCTGCTTTGCTGTCCCCATTCAGCTAAGCCATGTGTCCATCTCCTCATTACGGGCACTCCAGGGAGAGGTGGGATTAAAGGATTATGGTAATGTTCTTCAGGAACACTCGAGAAGATTAAGATGGCTTTAATAAACTGATAAGAGAGGGACGCAGCTATGTTTCTGAAACCCTAACTTAGGCCTCAGGTTAACCTTTACCTCTTGTGCTGGAGGCTGGTCTCTGGTCAGTGTGGTGAAGGAGCAGGTCTCTTACTTCAGCAGTGCTCCTCCATGGCCACGTTCCTTTGCTTTTCCTTGGCATTTGCACTTCAGTTGTCCAAGCGAAAGGCACTATGCAAGTTCAGAAAGACTCAGCTCCTCCTGGGCCTTGAGTCTACCAGTGAGGTTATGGCTGCTTAAGACCGTGCTCAGTTTGTATTTCCCTCCTTGGGCAAGGCTTCAGGAGAGAAGAACGGAACGGGACTACCTTGCACTGCCTCCTTCTACTGACTTCATCCACCCAAGCTCTTGGTCATCTGTCTACACTTCATACATGGAAAGCCTCTCTCTGAGCAAAGGGGATCAGGAATCTTCTGTTCTTCCCACACCCCCCATAGTTCACCCTTGTTCGTTATCTGAGGAGCAGATACCCTGTTATCCCTGGAGATACAGTACAGCATGTCCAGTCCATTGGATCACTCCTTCCTCTTACTTCAACCTTTCTTTCTTATCCCTCTGCCTCAGCATTATCCCCATCCTTTTTGTCTATCACCTTCCTCTGCTCCCTTTTATTTCTTGGATGTAATTGGAGGAGCCAAGAATTTGCAGCCTGCTGTCCTGATGGGGAAGGGAAGCAGAAAGTGATTTGGGGAGTGGGGTGTGAAAGAAAGATGAAGGGGGGGGGGGGAGAAGCTGGCTAATTTGCATCCTTTCTGAGTGCCCTGGCTCTATAGCCAAGGTACAGCAGGGGGTCTTCTGGCAAGGCGGCAGCAACGTAATGAGGTGTGTCATATCCCAGCAGGGGCCGGCCTCGCTCCCTCTCACACCCCCTAATTAGAACTGTTTCAATTTTTAAGCCCCCCTGGAGGAGTGCTGTGGGGAGGGGGAACTGTGAGCCGCCTGCTGTGGGGCCAGGGAGAGCGATACCATAATGCCACGGGGCTGCAAAATGCTTTGTGCCAGAAGGGGCCACCAATATTGCAGCTTTTAGGGGATTTTTCTTTTTTCTCTCTAAGTTGAACAAATGTGTTAGCAGCATGTATGTGTGCAGGGACATCTACCCCCTGCTTTGAAGAGCAGGTCTGACAGCACGGGGAAATACGAGGGCTGCTAATACTGAGGTTGGAGAGCTGTAGATGCTGAAATATCCTCATATTCTGTACATCCTTTTCCTGGATGCTGGTTGCATCTTCAAGGTTTGGTGATAGGAAGCAGAGGTTCCTAGTTCAGAGTTGGAAGGAATCACTAAAGGCCATCTGGTCCATTTCCCCTGCAATGAACAGAGACACCTACACTAGATCAAGTGCTCAGAGCCTTGTCCTGCCTGACCTTGAATGGGTCATCAGCTGAGGCATCCACCACCTCTCTGGACAATCTGTTTGTGTCCTACCTGAGCAACTTTTCCTGGCTGCCCTTGCACCACAGGGGCTTGTGATGTGGGAGCTCCCAAGAACCGCTGCTTGCTCTGAGTAGGGTGACTCATAAACCTCCTGTAGTCCATAGACTAAATCCTGGCCCTGCAGAAGTCAATGAAAATCTTTACGCTGGCCTTTTCAGGCACAGTAGTCATAGTCTTCTTAATTCAGATGCATTAAAGCCTCCATGCAACAGCTTGTGGGTTCTCTCTAAAACGCTTTCTGGAAGAAACAAGAAGAGCCTGGTAATAGCCCTGCTTATTTTCTGAATGGCTGTGGCAGCATTAAAACTTAATGCCATTAAAAAGAGGCCTGCAATGACGTGTGCCATTAAAACCTAAGAAGACTCCCTGAACGGATCATACTTGTTGACCCCATGAGCTGCTCTTGGAGCAAGTTCAGCTGTCCTCGGCTGCTAAGATGGAGCCTTGTATCTCCCACTGTGCATGAAGCCACTTTTAAAGCCTGCACAAGTCAGGTATCAAAAAGCCACACTTTCTAAGAAAGCTTTTTTTTGTGGCTATCTCCTTGTCCCACTCTTCCGAAGGCCAAACTCTAGGCCCAGAGTAAGCACCAAGTTAAGATGATAGGGAATGGACCTTAAGTTAAGCCTGGGAAAGTTCAGGTTGGATATTAGGAAAAAATTCTCAGAGTGTTGAGGCACTGAACCAGGCTGCCAATGGAGATGGTGGGGTCGCCATCCCTGGAGGTGTTCCAGAGCCATGGGGATGTGGCACTGAGGGGTGTGATTCAGTGAGCACGGTGGGGATGGGTCAGTGGTTGGAGTTGGTGACCACAGAGGTCTCTTCCAATCTTAATGATTCTATGATTCTGTCATTCTCATCTATGTTGTCCTGTCTCCTGACCGGTGTGTATCTACTCTCCTCTCTCCCCAGGTTCAGCACCATGAGTAGGCAGCCTGGGCGTTAGCAGTGTGAGGAGCCCAGCACGGTGCTGCTCCACTCACACCTTGCCTCGCTGCTCGTCCCCGTGGGGAGAAGGGTGCTGGCAGCCCACCCTGCCCTTCTGCCCCGCTCACCCTAGAGCGGACGGGCCCGTTATGGCTGGAGACAGACTCCCACGCAAAGTGATGGATCCAAAGAAGCTGGCCAGCCTCCTGCGGAACGGAGCGGAGGGAACCTTGGTCATCGATAGCCGCTCCTTTGTGGAGTACAACTCCTGGCACGTCCTCAGCTCTGTCAACATCTGCTGCTCTAAACTGGTCAAGAGGAGGCTCCAGCAGGACAAGGTCTCTATCACAGAGCTCATCCAGCCCACCTCCAAGATGAAGGTATGGAGATATGGGAATAGGGAATGCCTCTTTGCCCCGCCGGGGATATGTATGCTTGCAAAGCCATTTCCTGCAAGGGCAATGTTGTGCAACCTGCACCCTATCCTGTAGCCTGTTGCCTGCCCTCTCTTCTTTGACACTATGGCCACGGGGCTCTACTGGAGGACTTGTTTACAGCCCCCACTCCAGTGACATGCCCTCCCCAGGCCAGTCTAACAGGTACATCAGCCTCAGGAATTGCCCTGTGCTGGCAAACAAGCCCCAAATCCTTCCTGGAGCTGTAAGCTTAATCCCTTGCTAAAAACTCTTCCCCTCCCCTCTGTCATCTCTAACTCCATTCAGGGACATGTAATCCTCCTCCCTTGTGACGCCAGGAGCTCTTATCCGGTGTCATGGCATATTATCTCTCCCAGGCTCCTCTCTCTATCTCTCCCCGTTAAATAATAGAGGTGGCTCTGAGCCATGGCTGCCAGCCGAAATAGCACTGGGTGACCCCGTGGTGGCCCAGGCAGGGTCCTGCCCACCATGAGATGCTGCAATCAGTGAGGCAGTGGAGGGCGCCTTGTCCCCTTTACACCCCAGCGCCTCAGGGTCCCATCACCTCATCCACCCAGCATCCCTGAAGTGGCACATCCCCACTGCAGCGCAGCTTTGGCATGGGGACCCTCACCCCTCATTTTGGAGTGATGCTGCCCCATGCCAGCCCACTCCCCCACAACTGCGCTCCTGCTTTTCACATTCCCCAGCTCCTCCCTGCTTGTAATTTTATGGCAAAGCGAGGGTAATTCAGGCGATTAATCAAATGCTGGGCCCAGCTGGAGCCATCTGCGGCGTGTCCCCCCCCTCCTCACCACCCCGCAAAGCCACCGCTGTCCGTATTGGCTGCTGGTGACATCACCCTGCCAGGATCAAGGAGTCGGAAGGGGGGTTTTGGGGGGGGGGCGGGCAGCCTTGCTCCAAGCTGCTTCTGTGATGCTGTGGGCTGGGTGCTTTGGAGGGGATTGCAGAGAATGATTCCTGAACGGCTTGAGCCGTTTGCAAATCCCCAGGGGAATAAAGCAGGAATAATCAGTTTTCACGAGCTGGGAGCTAGCGCGGTGCGGCTGCCCTCCTCCCGGCGAGGGTCACCTCTGCAGTGGCCGCTGTCACGTGGAGAGGCAGCAGCAAAAGCACTGCGACTTTGTAGGGGGGGAGCAGGAGGAGGATGGGGAGGGGGTGCACGAAGAGTTAACATCAGCTGATGCCATTCTGCCTGCAAGGCTGCAGCTAAGCAGCTGCAGAGATGCCGCAGCAGGCGGCAGTGGCCCCCAAAGGATGCTCCTGCACCAATACGGATGGCTCTTGTCCTGGTTCTGTCCTGCTGAGGATTGTCCCCAACCTTCACAGCCATCCTGGGACTGCCAGTGTCTCTATGGAAGGAGCAACTACCTCCTCCCCACTCCTGCATCTTTACGCAGCTGTCCATCCTTACATGGGGATGTGGTGCCTAACCCTATCCGGGTGGGGACAGGGAGGGATAGGGGCATGGCTGGCGCTGGGAGCAGATGGCAGGAAGGGTGACATCAGTGGTGCGATTGTCCGGCCCCATTATTCCTCCTGACGGGCCTCCCGCCCTCCTCCTGTTTCCTGTTCTCGGCCAGGGCTGCCAAGACAAAGGCAGCTGGGAGCACTGCCGTGTACCCAAAAGGATGGGGTGCTGCCGAAAGCCCAGCTCAACACGCTCCTTCTTTGCTTGTGCAACCCCAAAAATCTCAGCCCCGATGGGCATCAGTCACCTTTTGCCCATCTCTCAATTGAGCGGCACTGTTTTCCATCCGATGTGACAAAGGGTGCTGCTCACAGCTCTTTGGGATGCTCTGGTCTGGGAGGTAACAGCAAGTGCAAATCTTGGGAAAGCTCTGCTTGCTGGGAAAGAAGAAAAGGGGAAAATCAATATCTCTTTGTCCTTTCATTGCAGTATGCCTATCACCTGCCCTGGAAGCGGGGATGTATCTGAGCCAACCCTCCCTGAGCCCTGACGTGTGCTGTATTCCCATTATACACACATGTTTTCCCCAGGAGCTGCATGACTGGAACAGAGCTGTGGCCCGCAGTCTGGGCTAAGAAACTGCAGCACTTATCCATTTCCCAGCGAATTACTTTTATGTTTTTATTTTATTCCAAGGAATTCCAATTATTACAGCAATAGTCTTCCTTGGCACAAAAATGCTCTACCTGTACTAGTTTTGTTTTCAAACCCAATGCCAACTGGAACCATTCAGCTCCTCAGAGCCATTACAGGGGAAGAGGGTGTGGGAAATTCTTGCTTGGGGGTTCATTTTGAGTTCTGGAGGGAAATGCTGAAAAGTTCACTCCTTTAAGATCTTCTCAGAAAGTCTTCCCACATCTTGACCTGTTCTCTCTTCCCAAAACGCAGCTGTGTCTGGGAATGGCTGTAGCAGTGGTTCGAGACATGACAGCAGTCTACCAGGGCTGTGGGGATGTGTATTTATTTACCGGAGGAGCCCAGCCCTGGAAGCAGCTGCTTTGCTCTAGGGAAAGCCAGGGCTTATTTCTGAGCCCCGTGCCCGGCTGCTTTTTATGTTTATGGAAGTGGTGTTATTTCAGTGGAGTGATTCACTGTGTTTTGAAACAATATGTGACTGAGATGTTTGGAGTAATTGGGATAATAGGAATACCTTGCTCTTATCTTAGCCCAGATCACCTGGAGGGCTCGGACTGTCCTGCGTGACAGATAAGTGCCATTTGGAGACATGAACCCACTCAGTGCCCAGAACAAAATGAGGAGATGCACGTGAGAGATACCACTGGGGGAGGGATGGGCTCCCCAGGAATGCCCAGTGGGTTCTCCAAAGGTGATGCTCCTTCAAGGAGTGGGGACAGAGCTGAGTGACTTGGTGGGACCATAGCACCTGTGGTAGGAAATGGTTGGTGGTTGGACTCAATGATGGTGATGAACTCAATGATGGTTTGACTGAATGATAGCTGGACTTGGTGAGGGTTGGACTTGATAATCTAGAAAGCCTTTCCCAACCTAGATGATTCTAGGGTTGTGTGAAATACCTGTTCTATCTGAGCCACGGGACTGGAAATGCCAGCACTTTCATGTGTGATGTGTCATGAATCCTTCCTTTCGCAATGCATGTTTTTCTTCAAGTCAGGCTTTCCCCCCTTCCCATTTCCACAGCCCTTGCCCCACCACGCTGGGTATTTGTTTCTGACGCCGGGCCATGCAAGGCCAGTGCTTGTTTGGCATTTACATTGAGTGAAACCTTATAACTTTAATAAGATGTAAACCGTGTCACACATATCTGCCGTTGCTCAGCAACCCTGCAGTAATGGCCAAAACAAAGCCTCCCCATGCAGAGGGAACACTAAATCCTATTGTGGGATAATTCTGCTCGGCCAGAGCTGTTATCTCCCGTGATGCCCCCCGTGGCCATCCTGGACGGGGTGCGAGACCCTGCCCAATCCCCTCCTTACCTCACTTTTGGGGAGATGCATTTGTGGTGCTTCAGGTTGGGTTTTCAGGACAGCATACTGTGGTGGAGAGCAAAGAAAGCCATGAAGAATGTCAATGGCACATCCAGAAGTGGCCACTGATTTTGCTCACCTTACGCAATTTTCAATGTCTTATTTTAAATTTTCCATCCTTTCCTCTTCTCTCTCCCTCTGTCACTTCCTTTTCTTTCCTCCCTTCATCCTGCTGACCCATGTGGCCAAATTTGCTTCCCAGTGCCCCACTGATTTCCAATGGCTGTTCTCAGCCCTGCAATGAGTGGTACACTCTGTAAAATCCGTGTGCACTGCAGTTTTATTGGGATGCAACTCCCATTTCAGGGCAGAGGAGAAACTGCATGGGATGTCAAAGCGGCCCAGCTGCTGCTTTGTTACAGCTTGAGGGCTGGATCTGCTTTGGGAAGATGTCTGCACACCTCAGGGTGCTGCAGGAAACTTGCCCTAGGGACTGGGGGCATATATTTTGAGCATCATGTTTGTGGTTGTGTTACTATCTATAGCAAGTCAACGGTGATGAGATAGGGCAAGCAAATGATAGAGTAAAAGAAAGGGAATGTTTATGAGTGCAGCCCAGTTCAAGGAGTCTCATAATGAGGTTCTGATCCTTACTGAAGAGATATGCATGGGGAGGGTTGTGCTGATCACCTGAATGGGATGCAGCAGCTCCAATTCTCTCATTTCACCGGGAGTGCAGTGGGGCATCACATCAGAAAGGATTCCTGTGCATGGGGGGAGAATGACTGGGTGTTATGGCTGGTGTTGATGTTGGAGTACTCGTTTACATCTGTGGGGCAGACACAGATGTGCAGTACCCAAACCACAGTGGTTGTGTCCCCCCGCAGAACACCATGTGCAGAAGTGAGTCTGGAGTTTCTCTAATGCCAGTTTTTTGCTATTCCTCACAGGTGGAGGCAGAGGAGCACCAGGACGTGGTGGTCTATGACCAGAGCACACGGGACGTGACCGGCTTGGCTGCTGACAGCTTCCTCTCCATTCTCCTGGGCAAGCTGGACAGCTGTTTCCACAGTGTCTCCATCCTCACAGGTAGGAGCAGAACCTCTCAAGGGCAGCAGCAGTGATGATGATGGTGATGGTGGTGATGGGTGATGGTGGTGCTGTAGCACTGTAGGATGATGGTCCCCTTGGTGTGGCTCTGTGTTACCATTTCATTTGGTGCTTATGCAGTTATTGTGGATTTATGGTGTTGTGACCATATGCTCTATGATGAGAGTGTTACACTGAAGGGAAAGTTGAAGCTGCCTCTAATTCCGGTGGCTGGGGCACTGCCTGGCTGGCTACTTCCAACCCAAACCATTCTGTGATTGTATACTTGGGGTAAATGCCGTTAAACCAGAGTTGTGGTGGGGGGAGCAGAGGAATGATGGGAATAAAGCACCCAGGTCTGACAGTCTGAGGATTTTAAAGGCAAGCAAAGACTATGGAATCATGCTAAAGATTATTAGCATGGAGCTATATTGAGACCACTGTCCAAGGTTTTCATGGTGTACCCAGGGCACAGCTTGGTGCATGATGCCAAAATGGAGAATGCAGATTTGGTCATGTCCTGGAGGGAGTCTGCCTTGTCGCTGGGATGAGTCAGGAAGAGCCTTTGTTGTAGACCTAAGAAAATGCCGTGCTCTGGTCCCTTGTAAGGATGATGTCACTCACTGACACCCAGCCCATGCAAGCAAATGAGCATCCCTGGTTTTGACAGCCATCTCTGTTCTCCCTGGATGTGGCACCAAAGACCCCCATGCAGGTTTGTGTCTGCCTGCACCAGGTGTGAGATGAAGTTTAAGACCCCAATTAAAACCCGTTTACAGGCTTCTCAGACCTTCCCTTCCTCACTGCTTTCCCCCTGCTGAAGTCCTCAAAGAACTGCATTCCCGACTGGTAATTGCTGAGGTTTTGGCAAAGCCTCTGCTGCTCCCTGTGCCTCAGGATGGCAAGCAGCACGGCCTGGAGCCTGCTAATGGGGAATGCAGGCTGCTAATGCATGGAAAAAAAAAAAAAAGAAAAAAAAAAAGGAACTGAAATGTAGCACACTGGGTCATGGCTGCTGAGTTTTATATGGAAATCATGACTCAAAAACACTGCTGAAAGCATCCAGAGGGAGGCTGGGCACGCTTTCTGACACACGCAGTTTCCTCCTTGCTGTAATGTGGGCAGCAGCCGGGATATTTTTGACCCAGGTCTGCAGTGCCTGGGAGGTCTGAAGGGGATGTATGTGAGGCCAGAGCCTGACCCCTTGCCAGGCTCAAGCTAGGGCCCTCCCTGCCTTACAATCAGGTATGCATCCTACTAAGGCATCGGGTTCCATCCTGATCTTGCCCTCATCCATGTGGCATCTCTACTCCTTGGTCTGAGAAGATGGGGGAGCACAAAGAGCCTTCAGCCCAGGCACCTCATCCTGCTCAAAGCCATCCTGCTGCTACCCTTTCTCCCCATCCCATCTGTGGCAGTGGGCATGCACTGAAATTTGGAAAAACCCAGAGACTTGCTAAAAGATGCAGGCAACTGGGTCCTAGGCATCCCCAAACCAGTGTGCCCACCCTAAGCAGCCCCAAAGCCATTTGGGATCCCCAACTTGCATTGTCCAAAGCAGGGACAGGACCCAGGAGTCCCAAGTTGGGTGGCTTCAGGCTCATTGGTTTTCATTTGTTTCAATGTCCCAAAACATCACACTTGGTCCTTGTTGTTCATTGATCCTGTTTAAATCAATCTACCTCAGAGCAGCTGGTGGGGCTGGGGTAAAGCTCCAGGAACTGAGGTGGCAGGAGTGAGGGCAGGGGCTCCTCAAGGGTTAACAGCCCCAGAGCAGCAATTCCAGCAGGGCTCGGAAGGAGGAATCTGAGTCAATTATTCCCAGTCTTGGAAATCATCATCATCTCTTCTTTCTCCACCTCCCCCCCCCCGTTTTTTTTTAATTGTGTAAGTATAAATAGTGCTGCTTGCTGCCCTCCATCCGTGGGAGCAGAAAGCCTGTTGATTTATATGGTTTTCCTGACATCACATGAAGTGGTGGAAAACTGAATGGAGCCAACATTTTTCCTGCATTACGTAATGCCCCCTCCCTCCCTTCAGCCCAGCTTTGCTATTCCTGCAGGAGCCTGACTGTTCTTTAACCTTTGTTTATTTCAGCACAAACCCTTGCTTTTTTTCTTTGCTTTTTTTTTTTTTTTTTCCCTTTGCAAACCCCCGCTTTGTTTTTATTAGCAGCCATTATCTGTTTATGAAGCGGCAGCAGTCTGGCTCCATCGGTTGCTGATGGCTCCGGCAATGGCAGCCCTCATGCTGGAGCCCAGCCAGTGCTGTGGTGCTGAGCATCTCTGGGTGCTGAGCGTCAATTCTCCTCCGAATGAAAGCAAACAAAGCCCAATCTCCCCAACCTCCTCCACAGCTCAGCAAAGCAGTGGGTGAGGGCTTGGGATGCTCCTCCAGATGATGACTGCACAAAGCAGGGCTCCGGTTCCTCAAAGGAGATGGCATTCGACTTCCTTAGGGATGTTCCAGTTTCTCACTGGTGCCAGTATGGAGCGAGTAGGATGCTGGTGGAGAGCCTTCAGCTTTATCTTTGCAGTATCGCACCGACCTGAAACTGGCCCCTCGCTTGCTGAGCTCTGGTCATGAGCTTTTCATCTGGCTCGAGAGCACATGTGAGATCATCTTCGGCCCCCTGCCCCCTCTCCGTTTGTACCAATTCTTCAAGGAATGTTTAAATTTTCCAGTCCTGTTCTTTCTAAATTTGGAGCGTCTGTTTACTCCCAGGATTTGGAAAGAATGTAACAGTATCATCAGTGAGAAATCCCTCCCAGGACTCTCCATCCTCCACCAACCAGCCTTCTCGGCACTACTGGTCCTGGCCCAGGTCTTCTCCAGCCTGGCAGTGCCGTGGCCAGGGACAGCGATGGCATTTGGTTTCAGCTCTTGGTCTTCCCCATTGAAGGTGTTGGGTTTTCTTGGGCAACCTCTCCAGTGGAGTACAAAGTTTGGGTGTGTCCTATTTTTGCTATATGGTGAGCAGGAGGAATGGTTTTAAACTGAGACAGGGGAGGTTTAGCTTAGGTATTAGGAGGAAGTTCTTCACATAGAGGGTGGTGATGCACTGGAACAGGTTGCCCAAGGAGGCTGTGGATGCCCCATCCCTGGAGGCATTCAAGGCCAGGATGGATGTGGCTCTGGGCAGCCTGGTCTGGTGGTTGGCAACCCTGCACATAGCAGGGGGTTGAAACTAGATGATCATTGAGGTCCTTTTCAAACCAGGCCATTCTATGATTCATTCTGATTCTATGAGATGAGATTTGTATTGGAAGCTTCATCTTCTTGGTGAGGTCATTCCCCTTCCTAAGGGGTGACTGTTGCCCTCCCCAAGGAGCTGAGAAGCAGAGAGGAGGAAAGGCTCTCTCTCATCATCATCACTAAAGTGTAATGATGGCTGCAGAGTTGTAACCGTACGGTGATCTTGACCTGGAGGGGGCTGATCTCATTCACAAGCCCACAGCAACTATTGAGGAGGTTTGGGAATGAGGGAATTTCATATAAATCTACTAAAGCCAGGTGACTTAAGAGCAGACAAAACATACAGTGAAAAAAAGGAAAAAAAAGGGAATTTACATTGCAAAAGCTACCGAGTACCAGCTGTGCTCAGCATTGGCTGAAACAAGGGCCTGGGGGAAGGTGATTAAAAAAAAAAAAAACAAAAAAAACCCACTTTTTCAGAGGTGTGGTGTTAGGGGTTTTTGTTTTGTTTTGTTTTGCTTTTTGTTATTGCTGCATTGGGACAGTCCTAAAATGAGCTTGAAAAATATCATCTGAAACCAGAAGGAGAAAATACCCCAAGCACACATATTTTTGGGTTTAGCTCAGAAGATGGAAGGTGGCAAAGGCAGCTCTCTTTATTCCATGCTTGCGGGTGGGTTTGGTTCCCACAGAACCTCTGCCAGGCATGTGGGTCTGAGGATGCTCGTGGAGGCCAAGTGTGAGGGCTGGCTCAGGAACCCTTTGATTGCGAGGTCTGAGAGCATCTGTGGGCCTACAGAGTGAATCCAGCAGATAGATCCACACGTGTTTTCCTCCAAAGCTTGTCTTCACTCCCGTGAAGAAACAAAAGAGGACACATGGACAAGCGCACCAAGTGTCCCAGAGGTAATCACACCCTGCTTTCCTCAGGAGCTCAGTGGTGGTGCACAGGGGGTTACCTGCAGTGACTCTCTTCTTTTGCCTGCCTTTAAATGCCAGATGTTCAGAGAGCTGGATGCAGAGCACTGACTATGTGGGACCACAGGGCAGGATGCTGCAGTGCTGGCTGCATTTGGGATCGTCTTCAGGCCCAGTCACCCAATCCAGAGGGTTGAGGTGGCCCCTTCTCACGCCACCACCAGGGCCAGGAGATGCCTGTAAGGGTTTGGGCTCCCTTGGGACCATCGACCACATCCCTGGGAGGGGTTAAGCCAGGTCATGTATGTGTGAGCTGATTGTATTCCAGACCTATGCTCTAAACCTCCCCATTTAGCAGCGCTGTCGTCAGACAACTTGTTTTTCCGATTCTATAATTACCCCATGGAGCTTCCCTTCCCCCTCCAGGCTGCGTTTTCAACATTTGGACCCAGAAAAGGCGAGTAAAACGGGGCAGGGGGAGGAGATGGGGCTACAGAGGAGCAGCCCACCGGTTGCTGAGACTTCAGAAATCATCGTGTAATTTCATTTCTCATTGCTGGAAAGCTGCAGGGAGGAAAGAAACTTCCCCAGGAGGAGATTGCAATGGGCAGGAACCCATGCCCGGTTATGATTTCCTTCCTTCTGAGAAACCTGCCTCCCCTTTTCCTGAGGCCTTGGCCTCCCACATGCAAAGGTCGGCGATTGCGGTTCTTACCAGGTCCTGGTGCTGGGTGGGGAGAGGAAATGCTGGCTGTAGCCCAGAGGAGCACAGGCAGGAGGGAGCAGAGAGTAGGGCTGTGCCTGGGGAAAGGTGCCCGCAGGTCTGCTGCCTGGACCTGGTGGAGAAAGAAGGCTGCATTCATATGAGAGTAGGAGGTACGTGGGTCAACATCCCTGAGTAGAAAACTGGATCTAAATGCATCTTGAAATAACTTGTGCCTAGGGCCCTTGCAAGCCTGAGTGAGTCCAAACCAACTGGCAACCACAAGAGAGCAAGGGAGGGCGAGTGCATGCTTGTGTTCTGCTTGGGGGGCAGGTTGATGATGGCACTCCCAGCTTCACCACCTGCCTACTATTGCCCCTCTGCATGGTCTGGTGATGACTTTCACCCCAGAGGAGTTCTAAATGTCCCTGGAAGAGTTCAAGAAATGTACAGACGTGGCACTGAGGGATGTGGTTCAGTGGGCACGGTGGTGACAGGTGATGGTTGGACTAGGTGATCATAGTGGTCTTTTCCAGCCTTAATGATTCCATGGTTCTATGAAATGCGCTGGGTGTCAGGTGAACAGAACTGCCCACCAGCAGGGAGATGCCAACGGAATTGGTGGTGGAGCTGGCAATGCTACAGCATTGGCGGAGGCAGCTCCATCGCCAGCAGTTGTTCATGTTGCCCGCCAGCATCTCATGTGTCCCTTTTCCCTGGGAATTGGTGGAGTCAACATTCCTGGAGGTGTTCAAGAAACGTGGAGATGTGTGTCAGTGCCACATGGTCCATGGGCACAATGGGGATGGGTTGATGGTTGGACTAGATGGTCTTAGTGGTCTTTTCCAACCTTAATGATTCTATTCTATTCTGATCTGCACCCTCCACTGCAAAGGTGGGGATGCCAAATGCAGGGCCACTTCCGTGAGCATTGGCACCTTGGGCATCACAGGGAGCTGCTGCAGGAGCTGCTCACTGACCATTGGTTTTGGGAGAATGTGGCTTCTCTCTCTTCCAGGCTCGCTGGAAGCATGCTTTGAATTTTCTCCAACCTCTGCCCCACATCTGATAATCATCAAGCCATATTTGTTACAACAACAAGGCTCATTAGGAGGCAGGCTCCGCTCGGGTGGGAAGGGGGGAGGGGAAAGCACTTAGTTAATGCCGATGACCTCATCTCATGTGATGTCATTCAAAGGAAAAACACTGAAGTCACTCGCATATGGCTCAGCCTGGGGTTTTTCAGCCTATAAAGCTCCAGATTTTCAAAGGCACAATGCATGCCCCCTCCCCCCTCCCCCCCCCCTCGCCTCCTCCGCTTACTATAATCCTGAATGATTTTCTGGAGGCCTGGGCTCAGACCAATAAACTCGCAACAAGCAGCGTGGAGACATATTAAGGAGTCTCACAGGTGGGAAACGGGGGATGTAAGTAATTCTCTCCCCCAGGACAAATGGAAAGCAGAATATGCACCAGTCCCAACCTGCCTCAGAAGTCCTCATGCAGAGAAAGAGCCCATCGGGATTGGGGAGGACTATTCATTAATGCCACCTCTTGCTGTGCTTTTGGAAGCATCTCCTGCAACTCATGGTTTTGCTCCTCCAGACCAGTGCAGATAGCTCTGGGGTGAGCCATGAGCAGTCCATCACAGATGCCTTTCTCCTCCTGTTGTTTGAGACCACTCTGGGATGGGCATTCCTCGTGGCCAAGGGACTTAGGGGCAGGAGCTGAGGATGAGGGAGGAAGAAGAGCTGGCAGCGGGGGCCCAGACTCTGCCATGCAGCAGTTGCCTGTTATACACCAGAAGATAATTGTATCTTTCTGCCTCAGTTTCCCCTTGGAATGGAGGTGGTGGTATTTCCCTTCCCCATGTTTGGGTTCCGAGCTACCCATCCTGTGGATGTACATTGTTCCTGGGGCATGTGGAAGGGGCACAGCCATGGGGTACCCACCGACAGGGTGCAGGGATGAGAGCCGGGGCACAGCCGTAGTCACAAACCTGTTTCCTTCCCGGCGCCTTCCTCCCTCCAACCCCCTGTCCCCAAATTAACCCAACAGTACTAAAACCAGCGGGCTGCTCGTGTCCTCCCGCAGCAGCTGCAGGGGGGGAGCGTGGCCGCATCCTGCGAGGAGGGCGGGAGGGAAAAGAGCTGTTGCGCCTTTAAGCAGCGAGCAAAGCATATGTCAGGCGCGCAGCCCCTGAGTTGTCCTGCGTGTCTGTGTGCTGAGTAAGGAATGCGGTTGCATGCCTGACCCGTTAGCTATGAGCCGCCGTGGTGGATGGATCAGCGGGGCTGCTGCTCATGTGCTGAGCTCATTCAGGCTGGAGCGGGAGCTGCACGCGCAGGCAGCCAGCGCAGCGCAGGCAGGGGAAGGGGCAAAGCTGCCCCCCCCACCACCACCCCCAGCCCATCTTTCCTCTTTTTAGCTTCTTCTGAAAGCTGGCGCAGGGGGAGGCTCTGAGGGCTGCTGATTCGGCGAGGTGGCGTAGGGTTTTTTCGGCCCGCCAGCTGTTGTTTTGTTAGGGAGAGAGGTGCCCCCGCGAGCAGCAGCTCGGCTGCCTGGATGCCTGTGGACGTGATGCTCGCTCCCTCCGAGGACCAGTTCTGGACAGACGTGCATGAGGGGCAGATGAAGCTGAAAATAAGGGTGCGGAGGATGAAGGAGAGCAGGGACATGCGAGGTTTGTCAGGCGGCCGGCTCCTTGCCTCGCGATGCGGACGGAGGGGGCGGCGGGGGGCAGCCTGGCCCCGGCTCTACGCGGGGATGGAGATGGGGAGCGCAGCGCGATACAAAGAGAGCGGGCAGCGGTGAGACTGAGGCGACGAGGAGCGAGAGCACGCAATGGGCAGAAGCCATTTGGGAGGCGGCGGGATGCGAGCGGGCGATGCGCGGATGAGGGGTCCGTCCCTCGGGTTTCCCCTGCGGTCCCTGAGGATGCCGCATCCCCGGTGAGGGGGAGCGGTGCGGGGCTGAGGGTGGGTGGGGGCAGAGAGGTGTGCGGGGAGCGATGGATGGAGCGGCACTGCGGCTGCCGGCGGAGCCATTTCGCTTCACTCGTGGTGCTGCTGCATGCCCAGCTGTGGGTTGGTTGCTTTCAGCGAAGGGTTTGGCAGCTTATTGCTGTGCCGGGTGAAGGACGGGCAGAGGAGGGAGATATTAACTGGAGCAGCTTAAAAATCTGCCGAGCCTGGGATGACCTAGATTGCCGAACGGTTGAATCAAGAAACTTCCCCTCCATCACCACTTAAAATGGGAGCCTGCTAAAAGTGCTTGACAGGTTTTTGTGGCACGAACCGCATAACCCAGCGATGGTGTCATTAGTAATAAGTCAGTCCTGGAAATGACACATTTTCCTTTACATAGAACGAGTAAGGTCGGTCCAAAGCAGCACAGTCACTGGAGGGAAATGAAGCCCAGCAGCTCTGGGAGCGTGTCCGTGTTTGTGTGGGTGGAGAGCTTCCTTTCTGCTGCTTTTCCTTTTTTTTTTTTTTTTTTTTTTAAGGAAGTTCTCTGCTTGTGCTGTATGAGCAATGAGGTGGGGGTCCTGACCTGGGGGACTGATCCCCAAGGTCTGCTGGGGGTGATGCTCGGGGAAATGGGGAATTCATGTGAATCAGGAACAGGGCTGATTCATCGGCTTTCTCATCGCACCCGCTTGGAAAATAAAAAGGAGCCAGCAATACAGGTGATGAAATGTAGAGCTGAATGAAGGGAGGATGAAAGCAGAGCCTGAGCTGGGGAAAGCACAAGGGCTGGGCAGGATGAAGGGAGGGTGGCAGTGCAGTGTGTAATGGGAGAACAGCAGATAGCTCCTCCATTGCACTGAGATGGGTGAAAGCAGGAGCTGGAGAGGGCCCATATGCGTGGCTGGCTGTGGTATATCTAGGAGGGCTGTGCAGGATTGGGCTTAGCAATGATGAGTGCAGAAAGCGTGCTTTGCAGTGACAGGCAGTACAGCAGGGAAGCAGCTCGTCCATTGCTGCAGCCAGGAGATGGCAGCTGGCCAGGATGCAGAGCAGTGGGAATTCACCCAGTGAGACAGCACCGGGCATCACTGCTGTAAGAAACAGCAAGGGGATAGCAGGGGGAAAACTCAACCACTGGCACCAGGAAGCTCTGAGGAAACCGGGAGCTTCCCAGCGTGCAGTGAGTAATGGTGACAGTAAGCAGCATTGCATCACAGCACCCGGCTCAGCTCCCACCCAGCACAAGCAGCAGGGAGCCGACGCTTCACAAGGAGGGATTTTCCCAGCGGCTTGGAGGATGACATGTACTGTGCCTGGCCCCCCTGCCACCCTTCTTTCCATTCAACCTGCCGTTGAGGCAAGGTTCTTGTAACGTTCCCAGCTCTTGTCAAAATCTCCCAGAATCCCATTTTGGAGGCTGCTCGGCTGCACCCCAGCCCAGCACTGCTGAGATGTGTGCTGGCGCGTGTGCCTGCTGCCCCTTGCCACGTGCCACCCTGGCAGCAGCTGCCAGCACCGCAGGCATCTTAATGAGAGCTGGGCAGAGCCTCTCTCAGCCTCCTCTTGGGAGGTTTGGGAGGGGTTAGGGGTCTTCAGCACAGCATGGCAGCATCTCTACGCTTACTGGTCTGTTAGCTGATAGGCACTGGGGCTGTGCCAGACTGCTGCAAAGGCTCTGGCACCTGCTCAGAAACCCCCAGCAGCTTCTTAATGTTTGCTATAGGTACGGTGAGGGTAAAGAGGGCTGTAAAGCACCTCTTTAACACCTGCTGTAGCTCTCCTGCTTGCTCCTGGTCTTGGGGCTTGCAGCTCTGGCTGGCTGCTGCAGAATGGTGACACGGTGCAGGAACATATCGCTTCTTCCCTGTCTCCTTTTGGGCAGGCTGATGTGTTTTTCCCAGAGTTGGGGACAACATCTGAGGCTGGAAAACAGATGAGGTGTCGCTGGTGTCCACACCATAAGCTCCATTTCCAAATGCTGGTGATAGGAGAATGGTTGGACTGGATAATCTTAGAGGTCTTTTCCAACCTTGTTGATTCTATGATAAAGTGACAATGGAGAGGTCCCTGGTGTCTCTCTCACCCTCTGGTATTATCCATATTCCTGGCACCAATACAGGAGCTCTTTGTTCCCGACAAATCCACCTTCACTTGAAAGCTGTTTGATGCACAGCAGGGAGAGCCTAGTGAAGATGAAGGTGGACGTGGGATAGCAGTGTGGGACTTCTCCCCTCCCCTGCTGGACACCAGATACTACCCCATCTCCAGGGCCATGCAGCAGGGCTGCAAGTGATAATGCCCAGGATTATTTCTCTGGGGATATTACTGAAATCCCCCAACATTTAGGGGTTGTTTTCACCCCCATCTCTCCCCTGGTGCTGCTTCATGGCTTCCTGCTTTGCCAGAAGCCCCTCACCAGCAAGCAAGGCCATGGGAAAACATCAAGAAGACCCATAAGCACCAACATACATCAGATAGAACTCCTTCCTGACCCTAATTCTCCATGTACCCAGAGGAAGGAAGACCACTGGGCTCCACTGCTCTCTCTGAACAAAGGCTGGGGTGTGCAGCCTGGGATGCAAAGGGGAAAGCCCAGGTATTGGTGGGAGCACTGCCAAGGACACTCACCGCCTTTGGGATTGTTTGGAAGAGCTGCTTTGCTTTCTAAAAATGCAAGGCATGCTGGAGCAGCTGGCACAGGCGGGGTGAGTACTGCTGCGGGGTTGGACCAGCAGTGGGTACCCATCTCTAGGGTTTCCCCTGAGCAGCTGTGAGAGGGGTGGAGAGCGTGGGGGAAATGAGGACAGGAGGGATGGAAGCGCAGCTGAAGGAGATTTGCTTGGGGCCAACGAGTGGCCTATGCCCCCACTGCTGCTTCCCATGCAGGGGAGGCCAAGGGGGAGAAGGCAATGCCTGCGTGTCCCAGCCTGCTGTAGCGATGAGGTCACCACACGCTCATGGCTTTTGAAGAGGGATCTGAAGCTGGAGGCAGCCTCAGGCGACTGTTGATGGGTAGGAGCAAAAGTGAGAGGCTGGGGAACAGAGCACTGCTCTCTCATGCTGTACGTGTGCCCCGCTCCCCATAAACACACTGAGTTTCTCTGGAAACCCTCCACATCATTGTGCACAAGTCAAATCCGTGTCCTATTACACCCTGCACGCTTGCAGAAGGCACGCTTTCTTCACCATGCAAACCTTTATCCCCCAGCTTCTCCCCACGTGTGCCTGCAGCTCGAGTGGGGCAGCGACACGTGTGCAGGGTGCTGATTTACACTCCTTGGCAATGGGGACGAGGCACCAGGGTGAGTGGTAACCAGAGCTGCACTGCACCTGTGCTGGGCCTCCTTCTTTTGCTGTGATTTAATGTCCCAGTTGAGAGGTGATGTCATTTCAGAGGGAGCCAGAGAAGAGGAAGTGCTAGAGAAGATGATAAGGTGCTTTAACTCTTTGCCTCCTGACTCAGCCAAGTTTTAAAGCTGAGCCTTGTGTTAGCCACCAGCCAGGGAAATGTAAGAGAGAGGAGGAAGATTGGCTGGAGGACGTCTTCTGGGGTTGATGCAGGAGCTGCTCCCCTGGAGGAGGCTGTAACTTATAAGATGCAAGGAGATGGTGATGGAGGATGGAGTGAGTGTGATTTCATGCCCTGCTCTGATTTCCAGAAGTTTCCTGCAGAAGAATCAGCAGAACTACTACAAAATCCTGGAGAAGGTATACTGAGCATGCCAAGCCTGCCCTGCTTCCAAGAGGAGAGGCTGAGTGGAGCAGTCATTAGTAAGGGCTCATTAAAAGGACTCATTCCATTGCAGAGATAGGCAGTAGTGTTGAATCCTGTGGTGCTAGATCCAAGATAGGAACTTTCAAAAGGAGGGTCCCAGTCAAACCCCGGAGTCTTCACTGCCCTTTGGGTGATGTACTCATTTTTTATGATTGGGAAGACCTCTGGGAATGTTGGTTGGGCTGATATAACCCAAGGTGCCCCCTATTACAAAGATGTACTGCTCAGCTGTCGTCTTCTGGGAGGGAATGAGGTTGGGCCACCATCTTACTGTACCCCAGGGAATAGGATCACTGTGCAAGAGAAGTCATCGTAGTCTTCCAGTGCTGGCAAATAATGTTCCATGTTTCCCTTTCCACATTCTGTATTTGGTTGCGTTGTGACTGCACACAACGGTAGAGGCTGCAAGCTCAGATCCCTTTTCAAGCCACACCATTAACTGTAGCTGAGTCTTTCACACTACAGAGCACGACTCCACAAATCAAGATAACCAGTGCCCTTATGTGACCATGCATGATGTGCAGCAGTGCTTTGTGTTGCTACAGCAATGCTCGCTGCCAAAGCCTCTATTCCTGCCTCGTGAGCGGGAAATTGTCTTTGGGGCAGGTTTGTTCCCATTTAGACCATGCATTTGATGGTGCTAGACACCATACCATTGTCAGATGCCACCTATTGCAGCCCTGGCTGGGCATTTTCTCGATAGTGGGCTTTGATATGCTGAGATGGTATGAGTAGGTTGTTGCAGAACACTGGGCACAGCTTGCTGTCATGTTCACCCAGGTCAGACTGTGAAAAATGGTGAGGAAATCTGTTCAAGATAAATTAGATTTCTCCCCTTCTGGCAAAATGTACATTGCAGACCCCTCTACAATTTTGCAGGCTCCCTTTTCTAATTAGTGCCACCGTGCAAACCGGGCCAGCCTTTGGCTATTAGAAAGGCAGGAAATCTGTGCACGATATCGCTGCCAGACTGTGAGCCAGCTCGAGTGCAATGGCCTACAGGTAGCCATGTGGTACTCTGGTCAGAAATCCCAGGCTTGGGCTTGTTCAGCAATAGCCCATCAAGTCTTCCTGCCCTGGTGTTTTTTACTAGCAAAAAGTGACCCTAGTTATCCCCAGAGGGTAAGCAAGTTCCTGTCATTTGTCTGGATGAAGCTGTGAAAGGCAGGAGGCAATGCAAGGTCGTTTCAAGTTGCACCAGAGGAGGTTTAGATTGAACCTTTGGAGAAATTTCTTTATGGAGAAGGTGATCCAGCATTGGGGTGGGCTGCCCAGGGAAGTGGTGCAGTTCTCATCCCTGAGAGGTACTGAAAATGTGCGTGGATGTGGTGTTAAGTTTAGTGATGGAACTTGGTAACTCAGATTAATGGCTGGGCTTAATGGTCTTGAAGGTCTTTTCCAAACCTACATGATTGTATGATTCTAAGTTACCTCACATGTGCATTAATATCCAGCTGCAGCAGGAAAAAAAAAGAGCTGGCTCTTCTGTGTGTGTATGGCACAGTCATCGCAATGTGTCTGCACTGGTTAACAATGGTTGTTGGATTTCTGTTCTGCAAAGCTCTGCACTCATCATGGGCAATTATCACCATTTCATCCCCAGCCCTCCAGGTGACAAGTACTGCTGGTCCCGGACTTGCTGCTGTGAGCTCAATGCCCCTGTTTTCTCTGCAGGAGGCTTTGCCACCTTCTCATCCTGTTTCCCGGGGCTCTGTGAGGGGAAGCCAGCTGCCATCCTGCCGATGAGCATCTCCCAGCCCTGCTTGCCTGTGGCCAATGTCGGCCCCACACGCATCCTGCCGCATCTCTACCTGGGCTCCCAGAAGGATGTCCTGAACAAGGTACAGCCCCATTGCAGAGGTGTGTCTGCCCTGTCCTGTCTAGGAGAGGGCTGGATGGTAACTCCTCCAGCTATGAAGAGAGTAGAAGTATGGGGATGGGCAGCTTTGGCCAGGGGCTTGTTCAGGAGACTCAGAAGTGGGCAAAATTTGGCTAGGGGGAGGGAGGAGAAAGGAGGGATACTGCACTTTTGAAGTGCTGGAAGGACAGCATCATGATGTCATGGCAGGGAAAGAATTTTGTTTAAAGGGAAAATAACAGCAAGAAGAAAAAAAGAGGAATTGCAGCTAAAATGCCACTGGCAGGAGGGAGCCAGACAAACATTCTTTCTCAGGGCAGGAGTGCATAGAGGGACCAGGAGAGCAGAGCAGGATAGAGACAGAAAGGAGGGAGAAAAAAAAACATATAGGGAGTAGAATGAAATGAAGGAGAAAAATGCCAAGAATGTGAGCTTAGAAGCTGGCTGGCTCTGTGGAGCCAAGGCTGGGTTCTGTGGAGCCTGCTGGGGACAAGCCCCTCTGTGAGCTGGGGTGGGGAGGGACTGGCCACCAGACAGCCACAGACAAAATCTCCTGAGGGCCAATGTCAGCCAAGAAAATTTATGGTTTCCTTTCCTCCCCACCTCCTCAGAGGGTTTTGTTTATCTTTTGGAGCTGTGTTTTCTGCCAGCACTGCAGTGTGGTGGCCAGAAGATGCTCCATTCGTAGGCAGCAGAGTGGGGTCAAGTGCAGAGGTCACATAAAGGCAATGCTTCTCCTTTCCAAAACGTTGAAAGGCACACTGCACATATGGAAGGATTCCTCTACTCACAGATTTATTTTCTCCTCCTGTTTAATTCTGCATCTTCTCTGAAATAGTTGAGGTCAGGCAGCTGACACAGGCATTCTCCATTCTTATATGCAACATGCCCTTGGTTGTACAGGCAATACGTAATCAGGTGGGAAGGGGAAAGGACAGCCAGGAATTCTGTGTCAGCAACACATGTAGATGAAGCTGTCTTTGTCCTGGGAGGGAGAGAATGGAGCTTGGTGCATTTAAAGCAGTATGCACCCAGCAAACCAGTTCTGTAGGAGATAGTCCATGGGTCACCCCTTTATTGCAATATTTCTTCTGACCCTTGTTATCTTGTCATTTTATTGGCTCAAATACGGGCAGTGATGGTGGTCACTGAGTGACTGAAGCAAAAAGTCACAAAAAAAGGGGCCCAGGTTCACTCCAGAGTCAAAAAGAGGAAAAAGATGGTTCCTCTCAAGTGGATGTTCTGAGTTATAAGTCACTAAAGCCTGAAATGAGCCTCTTGTAGGCTGAAATGCAGCACAGTTTAGTAAAGAACTGTGAACAACTAATAAGACTGTAAGAACTCCCAGTGCTTTTCAGTGTGGGTTGAAAGTAAAAAAAAGAGTTGACATTGGTTAGCATGGAGCGCTACTGATAACCAACTTGATTGGTGAGGTACCACTCCTCTCTCAGTGGATACTTTCTAAACTTTCAGTAAGACTTTTCATTGGTTTCCTTTCTTGCTTTCTCATATGGAACACCTTTCCAGAATTCTTTGATCAGGCTGAGGTACCAAAGTAAAGATCTGCTGAGTTACAAACCCGCACCATCTAAATGGGCACATCTCTCTCAGCCAGTCTGTGCTGATCATCAGTTAGATAGCATCAGCTGGGTCAAGGAGCCAGCAGAAGACCCATAGGAGCAAATATTGGGATGGCTAACAGCCAGGAGTGCGTGGAGAAGCACAGAACTCAGCTGATCCTTCAATTCCTTCTCTCCCACCAGGACTTGATGACACAGAATGGGATAAGCTATGTCCTCAACGCCAGCAACTCCTGTCCCAAGCCAGACTTCATCTGTGATAGTCACTTCATGCGCATTCCTGTCAATGACAACTACTGTGAGAAGCTGCTTCCCTGGTTGGATAAATCCATTGAATTTATTGGTGAGCTTTCATTATAATAATTACAGGCCCATCGGGTAGCCCTCGAAATCTGGTCTCTTTTCCTGTTTTCCACAGCCTATTCCCAGCAGCTCTTCTCCTTTCACACACAGGAGCTGAGGGTTGGGGATAGAGGCCAGAGTTGTTTTGCACAATATTTCTGATCATATCAATGTTTTCTCTCTGTTTTCTCTACTGTGCTCCAGACAAGGCCAAGGTGTCCAGTTGCCAAGTGATCGTGCACTGCTTGGCAGGGATATCCCGGTCAGCCACCATCGCTATCGCCTACATCATGAAGACCATGGGTATGTCATCCGACGATGCTTACAGGTGAGCATTCCCCAGAGGACAGGGAGGGGTTGTGCTGGTGTGCCTCAGTCCAGGGAAGGAAAGCAGCCTGAACCCAGAAGGAGAGAGTGGTTGCTTCTTGAAGTTCTGTCTTGCCTTGGCTAAGTGCTGGTGAAACCAAACCAAAACATTCCTTCACATAGTGCATGCAATGATGGGAGCAGTAAAATGGTGTGTGGGCAGGCAAAACCCCCAGAATCTGAGCAACCCTAACTTTAGTCAGGGAGGTCCCAGACCTCTTTGTTCAGAGGGTTCTGGATAATGCCTCTTCTCCCAAAGAGGCCAAGAGATTAGAGGGTGACTTACTGAAGGACTAAGCACCAACCAGGGCTGTCTGTGCCTCTTGGCAGGTTTGTTAAGGACCGCCGCCCATCGATCTCACCCAACTTCAACTTCCTGGGCCAGCTCCTGGAGTACGAGAGGAGCCTAAAGCTCCTTAAGGCCCTGAAGGCCCAGGGCGACCGGGGTGAGGGAGAAGCTCCTCAGGACCCAACCGAGGCACCCGAGGCTGGCAGGCACCCCACACCGTCTACCTCAGAGAAGGTTGAGGACGTACCGAGAAGCACAACCTCTGCACCCCCACCCAGTGACCCTGAAAGGCAAGGTGGGCCGCCCAAGGTCTTGTCACCCACAGCACTGCAGCAGGGACTCAATGGCTTGCACCTTTCCTCGGAGCGCATCCAGGACACCAACCGCTTGAAACGCTCCTTCTCCCTGGACATCAAATCCGCCTACTCCCCTGGCCTGCGGCAGGACCCCCCAGGCCTTCCCAGCACTGGGGAGGCCCCCAAGCTCTGCAAGTTGGACAGCCCCTCGGCACCCAGCGGCCAGTTCTCCCCAGTGCCCGACAGCCCCGACTGGCCCAGTGGGCCAGACCTCCTGCTGGAAGCCAAGGTGAGGCAGCGACGCAAGCACCGGCACCAAGCCGGCTCACCAGCCCACGGCCTCAGCCTCAACATCGGCTCTGCCCGCAAGAGCCCCGGGGCGGACGACAGCCTCCAGCCAAGGCTCAGCCTGCCTGGCCCACCACAGGCCTCCAATGGCTCCTGGGGGAGCGTCCACCTCGATTCCCCCAGCACCCCCTCCTCTGAGGGAGGATGGTACTTCGGCACGGACTCAGCCAGTAGCGGTGGCGGTGGCACCGGCGGTGGGACGCTGTTCAGCGGCACCAGCCCGTACCCCCCGTTTGGTTGCAATGGGATGACGGGGGGCTGCGAGATCAGACTGAGGGACAAGCAGCGGGCCGAGGCGCGGGATGGGAGGCACAGCTGGCATGAGGAAGCCGGCGCCGAGAAGCAGTTCAAGAGGAGGAGTTGCCAGATGGAGTTCGAGGAGACCATGTCCGAGGGCAGGTCCCGGGAGGAGCTGGGCAAAATAGGCAAACAGTCGAGCTTTTCGGGCAGCATGGAGATCATCGAGGTGTCCTGACACCCATCGTGGGTGGTTAGAGAGAAAGGGGTGGGGGGATATTTAAGATGGGGAGAGATGCAGGGAGGGCGGGTGGGAGTATTTATACCCGCGTGCACATTTTCGGAAGCACGCACATCGAAATGAAAGCAAAGAGGAATGAATCCAGAGTCAGGAAACATCACGGTGAATGCTTAGTGTCCCCCCCTATGCCCACCCTGGTTCTCCCACCCTAGCAGACTCCAGCTCGCGGTGACATCACCCTGGGCTTTTGCACATGGAGCAGTGATGGGAGAGCAGCCCTCAGAGCCCCGTACTTGAATCTGGGGTGTAAAATTTGAAAGGGAAGGGGCAGGAATTACCATTTGGGGTTGGGAGGGTGAGCAAAGCCTATTCCTGGCTGGGGCAGGACGTGGTCCCATGAGGACAGAGCACAGCATCACTCTGTCAAGGTGGGGAAGAGGCAACCCAGCTATCCCTCCCCAGACCCCAGTGCACTAAGCATGTGCCCCCGTGTTTCTCTGGCTGAGTATCCTAAAGATGCTGCACTAGAGCAGCCCTATACATATATAAATATATATTATATATAATATAAAGAAAACACACACACACAAAGGAAAAAAGGTAAATGGTTTTACTGCGATTTTTATTGAGACGTAAATAATATTTCAATTTTTTTTTGTTTTGTTTTTAATTTATTGAAGCTGTTTCATTCTGGCAATGATTTGCAGACAATGTGGGGCGGTACTTTCAGCTCTATTTTTACTGTGTATGGTATTTAAATCTGAAATACGAGTTTCTAAGCAATATCTGAGGCCTGTGGCTCCTTCTATAGATCATGTCGACGACAAAGATTTTCCCCCATTCCCTCTGAGTGCAACAAAAAGGGGACAGAAAACTCTTTGGAGCACCTTTTCTAGAAACAAACAAGTGAACAAGGAAGTCATAAAATCTTAAAACACAAACTGAGCCAGAAAACTCCCTTTCTGGAAGCTGCTGCCGCTTCTTCGCTCCCTTGGTCCCTGTTTTCTTCCCCTACCCCATCACAGCCATCATTCCCATCCTGGCCATCATCATCCCCTTCCCTCCCTCGTGCTGCTCTTTCTGGCTGGAGACAGAGAGGAGTAAGTCACTGAGATGGAGGGAAGGACACTGGGCATCCCCAGGGATACGCATGGAAGGAGAAGGCATACAATGCCACAGCAGCATTGGGAGGGAAGATTGGTGGTGGCTGGGATTTCATCTAAGGGGTGTCTTGCCTGTCCCCCCCAGTTCCAAAACTCTTGGGCTGAGTTCTTCTAGGGAAACATGTTTGCAGATCCCTCCTTGCCTCCTGGCTGCCCTCACCAGTGGGGAACCAAGACCTTGCAACCCAATGCCCAACTTAAGGCTTACTGAGAAGCTGCTTTCTGGAACTGTAGGCACTGAGCTGCCTCTGCTGCAAAGCACATCTCTCCCTGTGGCTGTCTTTACTTTCCCCCTCATCTTGCGCTAGCTTGCAAAGCTAATACCTCAGGGGTCACCGTTCGTGCGTGTCTATGTCCTGTGTCATCCTTTGAGCGTTCTCCATTTCTGTATCCACTCCTTTTCTTTTTCTCCCTTAGCTTTGTATCTCTTTTTGTTGTTCATTTCTATCACTAAATCAACTTACACATGACAAAAATAAACGATCTCAGGTTAAACAGTGAACACAGCCCAGAGGCATAAGGAGCTGTGATAGAGCAAGGATTTCCTCTGCCTCCATCTGGGTGCCTGGAGCTGAGACAAGTCTGTCTAGAGGTTCATTGCTGTCTTCAACATGGCTTTATTCTTGCTGCTTTACAATGAGGCCATGCTGGGGAGATCCCACGTGCCCTCACTTGGTTCCCCAAGGTCCCTTGAGAGCACACCACCATTCATCATCGCCTTCAGCAGACTCCTCAAGCCAGCTCAGTCATGCTGAACCTTGGAGAAGGTAGAAAAAGCATTCCTTCTCCTGGCCTTGCAGCTGTAAGCTAACTCTATGGTTTGAGAGGGTGGTGATGCTAGGCTTTGCTTCCTCAGCTTTCAGCCACTTACACCCCATTAGTTATTGCCTGCTCCACCAACCTCATTTAATGACAACCTCATTTACAACCTACTCTTTCTGCCTGTGATTTTTGCTGTGCTTTCATTGAAATTTGAGAAATTTTCCCTGCCTGGCCACAAAAGGAAGATGAAATCATTCTCTACCCATCACCTCCATCTCAAAAGCTAGGCAGCTCTTCAAGGGTTGCACTCGCTGTAGGGCCTCCCTGCTGGGCATTAGTTTACAGAAAGAGGGTGACAGGTTGGCATGGTGAGGCAGTAGCAAGCACTCACATAACTCATCCCATTAGCTGGCATGGTGTGTTACACACACACAATAAAAGGAGCTGGAGTATGTCAGGAAGGAAAGGGTGAGTGTTGTAGACAAGACTCTGAATGTCTGCAGAGGCGGATGCGTGGTTTGCATTTTGTCATCTCTCTACCATGCCCTGGAATGCTCCTCAGCCGTGCTCAAGGCTTTAGGCACTATGGGCTCCTCTCTTCTCTGAAATCAGAGCAAAAAGAAACCTTTTAGGATTCGTAGATAGATCATGGCTGCCAAGAGACATTCATCACCCACCTCTGCATCTGCAGTCTTCTTCTGACGTCCTTCATGTTCATCCTTCCCCTTTATGTTGGGTGTGTGTATTAGAAGCCCTCTTGTGCAATGTTTCAAGGCGACATCCAGAAAATACCTTGTATCGCAGCAGCCCTGCTTGAGCTGGGGCTGTCAGTGCTAAACCTGAGCCATGAGGGTCACCAAGAGGCTTGCAATTAATGTCAGTGATTTTTCCAATCTGCCTGATGGACAACTTTGTCCACGAATCAAAGAGTTCTCATGAGGGTGGATGTGTTGGCTTGTAGTCCTCCCCATCATCTTCTGACCAAGATGTTTTATGGGCTCTTGCAACCAGACTACTCAATCCAAGTTTCACTGGGACCCAAATGGTGTCCACCCTCATCTGATGAGGGTGGGTTTCCTTGTAGTGGCAGAAGTGAGAGCAGTGGAGAGAAAAGGTCTCTCCTTCTAAGGGAGGAACCATCAAAGCTGGTTAGGCACTGCAGCTGCCACATGCCCTGTGGTCCATGACACTCCACTGCATCCACACCTGTGTCATCCCTGATGCAGTGCTGGTGGTGTTGGGGCTTTTGACCATATGAAGGATGGACCAAACCACAGCTTTCCTTCTGGCTAGAAGGAACATCACTCCAGCCCCCTGACTGTCTCCAGGCATGAGCCCCTCAGTTGGATCCTTCCCATCCACATTTTGGGGCTGAGCAAACCTGGAGGGAGGGCAGTGATCAGGTTGGCAACACCAAGCCGGAGGCTTGGGTCGGAGCAGGCTCGTCCCCAGCCTCTGTGGCAGCACCCCCAGCCCTGCTGCCTTTCCAGCCCTTCTCTTTGTTTGTTTCTTTGGACATTTGTCCCTGTTTCGTCTGCCCCTTAGGAGACTGTGCCCCACAGAACCCCCTCCCACTGTCCTGTTCCCCCTACCATTCTTAATACTAATGATAATAAGCTATCAGTGTTGTCATTGCAATCTATGAATGATAGATTTAAGTATTTATGATTATTATTATGATTATTATGGTTATGATTATGTACTTTTTTGCTTCTTACTCTTTGTATGTTGCTCCTTGTTTCTCTGTTGTGAATAAACACAAGGCCCCATCACACCTTCTCTCTGCTCCCAAGCCAGAGGAGGCAAACAGCCCTAACAGACCCTTGTCTGAGGGTTTGGAGGGTGGTGCTTTCCAAGGACATAAAGAAACCAAACCTGGGGCAGATCCGTTCTCTTAACTCTTCCCTTTCTTCCAGCAGCTCCTCTCCCCCATACTGCCATCTGTTTGCAAGAGGCAGGAACCCACCAGCACCAGGAATGGAGAATTAAATGGCAAAGCACAAAGCCTAAAGTGTTAGCCACAACAAGCGTTGGCCAGGCACCTTGCTCATGGAGGCAGCTCCCTCCAGATCATGACCCTCTCACTTTCTGCTGGCTGCTCCTTGAGGCTGCAGCTCCACCCAGATGGGCTTGAGTTCTACTGCTGCTTCTCGTTCACAAATCCCCTTCTCACCCCACTCAGCCAAGCCCACCCACTGGTGTTCCATCCCAGAAAAGTGTCATGGCTTCTCCTGGTGTGAGTGTCCTCATGGTGCCAGTGCCTCTGTCTGTTTGAGGCTAATAAAGCAGGATGCCATTAAGCAGGCAGAGCTCTGACCTTGTTTTATGTACCCATCACCTAGGCTGTTTATGCAGCCCGGAGGTTTTCAGGTGGCTGTAAGGGGAATATTTTGCTAGGAGGAGACATTAGGGAAAGGGAAGAGGAGCCCCATCTGCACCATGGTTTGAAATACTCTCTGTACTGTGAGCCCCATGAAATCTTGATCTGGGGATTTTAACAATGCCCTTCCCCACGCAGTCCTGACACAATCTGTTCCGTCACTACTTTGCCTCCTCATGGGTTGGGCTCGTTCCCATCACCCTGTGCTGAACTCATTCCCGAGGCTGCTCCAGGACCAGAGCTCAGGTCTCAGCTGCAGAGAGCCCCTGCAGAGCCTGGGGTCCCACTCCGGCATCACCCTTCCTACCTCACCTGTGCTTGGATGGGGTGGGTGCGGGCAGGGCCCCTAGCACTGCAGCTCAGCTCCCACCAGCATCCCCACAGGATCCAGCCCCTCCTCTGAGAGCACAACACATGGATGGGGTCTGCATCCACTGCAGACACTGTGCAGGTCCTGAGCAGGGAAGATGCTCCGGCTGCCGATCCCACCACATTCCCCCTGTTGCTGCGGGTGGGACTGAACACGGCTTGTTTCGCCCGCTCGGACTCAGAGAGACATCCTGCCTCTGCCCCGTCTTTATTTTATTTATTACCAGAGGCTGTAAGCAGCAGTGCTTCTCTATCCCCTCTTTCTTTTCCTTTCTTTTGTATTTTGGAACGATGTGTTGTAATAAATACCCAAATAGGTGTTTTAACAGCTGTTGTCGGCCTTGGTTTGTGGGGGAGCTGCTCTGGGTGGGGCTGGAGGGT